TTTTTGGCCGCCTTTGTCATTTCATTTCGTTACATTAACCCCATCATCATCAAAACACACACTCTCTCACACACACACACACACACACACACACACACACACACACACACACACACACACACACACGTGCGCACACACACACACTCACACACACACACACACACACACGTGCGCACACACACACACACACACACACACACACGCGCACACGCTGAAATCAGTGCTCCTTTGGGATGATTGGGATGGGCGGTGGTATGGATCCAGCAAAGTGAGATAGAATTTAAATTGGATGTTAAATAAGCATTACTCTGCCTGATTGTCTGGCCAGCGCAGGAAAGTGGGCAAGCATTGAGGCAGAATGTGCTCCTCCCTCTCACAGATATCTGTGAAATTGGGGTGAGATTGAATTAAAGCGTGAACAATTAGAGATGTGCTGGTGGTGGCGCTTACCTTGAAGAATTTCATCTACTGTATGAGAGGCTATCCTGGTCATAAATCATAATATTAAATACACAGCAATCATGCATTCCTTAGTTGGGAATGTGAGAGAGATGTAAAGTAATTCATATAATAAACAAAAGACATAAAATGCTTCATATAATGCAGAGAGTAAAGATCTTAGTTCCTGTCTACGCTATCTACATAAAAATGCCCCCCCCCCCCCCCCCCCCCCCCACACACACACACACCCACACACACACACACAGACAAAATGTACCATTGTATGCTCACAGACACTAAATAAATTTATGGGACAGTTACCATACCGGTAGGTTTTTGCAATCATGAGCTCATTGGCTTGATCACATTCACTGTTCACCATGAAATTCAACCTAATACTTCAGGGGTCACCAGTGTCGTACTTGAGGGCTACAATCCCCCACGCTTTATACATTTGCTGCTTCAACACACCTGAATCAAATGATTTAGTCAGTTTTGTTCAGCAGAAGCATTTTCATTTTAATTACCCTCCTGTTTCTGTGCAGGGTTGCGGGGAGCCGGTGCTTATCTGCCTTGGTATTTAAGTAAGAGACAGTTCACATAGAAATGAATGAGACGAACAACCATTTGCACACACACAACCCTCATGACAATTTAGAGATGCCAATGAACCCACGTTACATCTCCTTTTGTTCTCCATTCTGAGGCTTGGTTTGAAATTCAGTTGTTTTATCACCTCCTGATTCCTTAATTGAGCTGCAGTCACGTGATTGTAAATGAGAATGAGTTCTCAACCGACTCATCTGGTTAACCCCGTACATTTCCAGGTTTAATGAATGCAATGGGGTTTTGTCCCATGGGCAAGATGCTATTAAATAAAGGTTAAATAAAAATAATAATACATAAATTGGCTGATTGTGTCAACAAGCAACAATTATACCTAATAACCTGGTCACTGAGTGGGTGCACTAGTGTACATCAAATGTATGAAGCCTTAAAAAGCTGCTGTTCAAATCAATTTACTTAAAGAAGTGGTTGACATTTGCAGTGGCCTCTACGAGTAATGAATGCCTTGTAAGTCGATCTTGCCCACATCATAGCTGAGCTTTAGACGACAGATTTTGGAGTCTTATTTCCTGATGTTTGAACTTCTCGCCCCGGTTTGGATAACAGCAATGTGACTCTACCACTGACTTTCAACATTGATGTTTTATCTCCACAAAAACAATCCTAGAGGAGCTTATGCCATGTGGTGATGTTGCTAATGCTTACGGTTAGCTTAAACTAGTCGCAACATCAGCTACTGATACCTGGACGTTAATGGGCTCGACACACGGGAGGCGAAAAACGACTGTGATCAGCGAAATTCATCGCTGACGCTTTTATTACCTGACACATGGGAGGCGACCCGCGGCAGCGGCCAGAGGCAAAGCCGTCGACGCATTCTGTTCCATGGCGAAATCGAATCTTCCGTTGTTTTGATTGGCTGTGTCAGGTTCAGAGTCAAAAATGCGGTAGATATGATGTTTCACAAGGTGCTGCTAGAGTCATGCGGCGTTGGCGCAGAAGGCGCAGGGCAAAGAGGTGCTGGCTGCGGCGGTGAAGGTGAACGGGACCAGCCTGGCAGCAGGCCTGTGCAAGCAAGGCGCTGGCATATACTAATAAAAATCACCAACAATTTCCCATGCCGCAGCCTTTTTGTGAATATCTCTATATTCTTTGGTAGAAATATTGTACAGTTCTGGGAATTCCATCACAGCAAGTATCAACTTCTCCTCCATGTTTACTCGGAGATGTACGGAGCATCCTGTCCACTCCTGTCCGCTCATTGGTCAGTGAATGAAACCTCCGTTTATTGGTCCTTGTCCCAGCGACAGCGATGAAAAGTTGAAAATATTTGAACTTTCTGGGATCGCGTCACTGTGCACGACACTTGCACGAGCGCAACATTTCACGCACACGTTTTTCGCATTTCGTTTAGTAGGAGGGAGACCTGCCATTATCGCTTTGTCGCGCATGTCTCATTGAAAATGAATGGCGGAGAGGCGACGTCGCCTCCCGTGTGTCGAGCTAATTAAACAACAACAGCTTTCGCTGTCATGAGTCAAGATGGGTGAGGCCATGAATGCTAATTCATAGTGTGATGTAGATTTTCAAATACTAGATTTTCACCGTCTATAATCTATCAGAAGGTAATTCAGGAGATAGGTGTAGGAGACTCTATTTTCATGTTCAGCCTGCATGAAAATCTCAGAGTGACTGATTATAATCAGATAAATCATTTAAAACATGCTTTTTCTGTCAACCACACCTTTAAGGTCCAGTTAATTACTACTAATTTTAAACCATTTAAAAGCCAATTATTTCTAATTCAGTCTGATAAATTTACAATTGTTGTAAGTACAGTCAGATTAAATACAATGGCTAAACCTAATTCAAACACATTTAATCCAATCACGTTTTATGCAATAATGTCAGGTCAGTAATAATGAAATTCCTCTTATTTATTTTTTATTTTTCCTGTGTCCTGTCTGGCTATGAAGCGAACAGAAATGATGTCTGAATGCTGGTGACAAGCCTTACAGATTTACTCTCAGGTGGAGCATAAAAGCTTCTGATACTTAAAACTTCATTGTTGTTGTTTTTTGAATGCTTTATAATTCCGATCAGACACGGAGACAGAGGTGAAAGAGAAAGAAAGAGGGGGGGGGGGGGTCCACAAAAATAAACAATAATGAACAACTATCACTGCATCAGCCTGATGAGGAAAGTGAGCAAGCTATCACTACGCCAGCTTGATGAAGAAATATAAAGTCAACATTGTTTTACTGAACAATCACACGATAATAAATCATAGTGCATTTAGTGCCAACCATAGCCTTAAGACACGTGTTGAAAATGCCCATGTCCATACTTATGAGAGCACCATGTGAGCACCTGTGTGCATACCCGCGCTTGCATATGTAAGGCTTCTCTATAGAAGCGTCCAATAATGAGTGTGAGGAGCCACACGCAATGAAATGCCTTTTTACAAGGAAGGTGTGCAGTAAAAATTTACAGTTGGAGATAAAATCGTTTCATAATCAAAATTATATTCTACATTTATTGTGCATTTTTTATTTGATGCATCTGTATGACTGCCACCGTTCAACCGAAGCAAATTCCTGGTAATGTGAGTCCCACTTGCGTACTTGGCAATAAAGCTGATTCGTCTCGTCTCGTCTCGTCTCATCTTGTGCTGCCTATCCAGGTCGTGGGGGCAGCATCCCAACTATGGAGTTCCAGACCGCCCCCTTCCCAGCCACCTCCACCAGCTCCTCCGGTAGGACCCCAAGGTGTTCCTGGGCCAGTTCGGAGATGTTCTTTCTCCAATGTGTCATGGGTCGACCTAGGGGCCTCCTGCCGGCAGGACATGCCTGAAACACCTCCCTGGGGAGGAGTCCAGGAGGCATCCTAACAAGATGCCCAAACCACCTCAACTGACTCCTCTCGATATTGAGGAGCTGTACTCCGAGTCTGTCCCGAAGGTTCAAGCGCCTCACCCTATCCCTGAGGCTAAGCCCAGCCACCCGGCGGAGAAAACTCATTTCGGCTGCGTGTATCCGCAATCTTGTTCTTTCGGTCGTTATCAAAAGCTCGTGACCATAGGTGAGGACCTGGCGGTAGATTGACTGGTAAATCGAGAGCCTTGCTTTCTGGCTCAGATCCTTCTTCACCACAAGAGACTGGTTCAGCACCCGCATCACTGCAGACGCTGCCCCAATCCGCTGATTCTGATTTCATTTAACTCAGTCACTCACAACCTTTACCTTTAAAGGGTTTTCTCCCCTGTAATTTTAGCAGTGCATTGACCTCAACATGGCACAAAACAGTTTAGATTACAAAAATAAACACAACCAGTCCAGCTGGACACCGTCCACTTGGCTAGACGTTACCCTGTGCTTCAGTCCAGGTACTCCTCGTTAGGATTTATATCCCTATGGAAACCTTCCTGAAGCCAAGGCTGCAGTTGTGTGTGTAAATTGTGTCCAACGATGCTAGTATTTTTTCTGTTTTTCTACATCTCTTTTTGTGATCACTATACATGTGAAGAACTGCCGGTCTGTTGTTTTGGACCTACCGGATAATCCACAACACTGTATAATTCAACCCCCCCGGCATGGGCTTCAATTTTAGAATACTTTGTAATATTAGATATTTTCTTTGCTACTTCAAAAAAATTTCATCTTCCAATGCCGTAATGTTCTTTCCATCCAAGTGTAAGACACTGAGGGCTTCAGTTGTAACAACTTGTAAAATTCCCTGTAGTCTTTCATAGTATGTGTACAGCTGTATTGATTTAACAGATGGATAATTATTCACTGGACAACTCTGTCAGTTCACATTAAAGACTAACTTTTTGTATCACGCTGATTAAAGCAGCAATGTTTCTTATCATTTGAACCTTGTTTTGCATTATTCATTCTCACTTTTGGCCTTCTTGTGTTAATTTGCTCTTGGTGCTGCCCAAACAGAATAGATTCTAACTTATTCCTTTTGGTTTCTATCTCTCTGTGCAGGGCAAGCATCGTACAGAAGAGAATAATCTATTTCCAGGATGAAGGCGCACTCACCAAGCGAATGTGCGAGAAAGGTAGGCTTTGCCAATTGACATGGGCTCAATGATTTATCATAAATTTCCATTTCCTTCATTCTTGCTATTGGTAGTCTATTGCACTCCCCACCTTTATTTCTCTCATCTTCCTTTTGAATTACAAAGCTTTCCTTAATTTTACATTTCTTGAGTTATTGTGGGAGAGTTTGACCCCCTCCCGGCTAAGCATGTCATTGAAACTGCAACGCACCTCCCTCCTTTTTCTTAATCTCTAGTTTGATAAGCATCCTTCACATCTTTCTTTTTGGACAATCTGTCATTGGTTATCTCATAGTTCTCTGTATCTCTCTCTCTCTCCCCACCCTGCTCATATCTGTGCAGAATCCCTGTATGGAGATTCAACAGATAGACCGCTGCTTGATTGTTGCGCCTGTGGGACAGCTAAGTATAGAGTCACCTTCTACGGAAATTGGTCGGAGAAGATTCATCCGAAAGACTATCCCCGTAAGCGCAGCTGTTTTCATATTTGTAGTGCACAGATTTATCTGATGTAACAAAAACAAGAAAATATTTTCTACTGAAGCAGTGTTTGGAAAGCAGTATCTAGACTTGGTTTAAATACTGATGTTGGTCCTCCCTACAATAAAAAGTTACCCCAAATAGTTTACATATGACTCTTAGCAGTGATGTGTGTAGTGTGCTATTGTAGTATTGTTGGGTGTGTTGTGTATATAACCTTGAGACACACTACCTGGCTGTGAAAAGACCTACGGATTACGCTGCCTCTCTTGTTTAAATCAGCCCCTTGCCAGACGGATCAATAAACTGATTAGAATGTAATAAGATAAACCCTTAAAACAAAAGGAGCCCCGATTCACCGACTTAAGTAGGCAGTGAACGGTAGGTGACTCACTCAAGCAAATATGCAAAGACACACACTTCACAGATGCACACACCCAGATGAGGAGAGGGTGAGTGAGCTATGTGGTTTCTGTTTCATCGTGACTCTCGGGGTGCTACAGATCGATTTCTCCTTGCACAAAGTCATTTCCTGGTTAACTAGTTATTATAACGTGGCACAAATTGCACTGGACAGTGTTGTTCACTGACTCAGACCTGTGGTAGTTCTGTCCTTTTTCCTCCTTTTGCTCTCTTGACCTGAATTAGCATTTTTGTTACAAGCTGTACTAAGACACTTTTGCTCGATGAAATAGGCAATTTTATCATTTTTTTCTATTTTTAACATGTGTCCTTCAGTTGCAAGAGAACCACTTTGGCGACACTTAAACAGGGACTGATTTTCCCCGTTCAGCTGCTCTTTCTTTTTGACATGATAACCTTGACGGCTCTATTTTTTTCCTCTCTATTGTCCCATTTTAATTCATGCAGCAGAACATGACTGTTCAGCCCAGGTAGTTGCTGTGTGCTTGGACAGTGGAAGGATATTGAGACGGAGAATGTCCCCACAGCAATGTTAGATGGATTAACAAAAGGCAGATCCGACTGGAATTACCCTCTTAAAGGCAACAAAATCATTTACCTTAAGAGCAACAAAGACATGTTAATAACCACTTTATACTTATTTCACCAAAAGCTTTGTTTTAATGCCATGAATGCTGTTTTGAAAACTAGCTAACTCTCACAAATAGAAAAGTACCTGGAAGTTATTTTTTATATTTTGACCTAAAAGAGAAAACCCTAGACAGGAAAAATCAGTTATTCCTTATAACATGGCACAAGCCTTGTATACACCGAGAGCAGAACGGGATGCAGATGGGAATTTGCACAGCTTTTCCAAAGACAGAAATTCACTGAGCCCAGTCAGAGCATAAAAGCTGCAATGGCAATTTTGGAAAACCAATTAGCTTCAAATATTTATTTTCATGCCTCTTGCCAATGTTCTGACATAGATTATATATGAATATTCTGTGGAGATAAAAAAATGTGAATAAGGGATTTGTCAAAAAAACCTTTGCTGATAACATGTTTTGGACTGAAAAAAACTATTGGACCGTTCAGTTTGAGCCTTGACAAACCACTGTGCTTCTGCATTTCCTCCATTCATTACACACTTGAGCCTGTGTGAGAGGTTCTCTGCTCAATAATATCAGAGAAGGAGAAACAGCCGGCTGCTACCACTTCAACTTTAGGACAAACTACCAGAGTCCCAAGAAGAAAAACACCATTTGAAGTCACAGGCAGCAAAAGAAGTTTGGGCCTACAACGACTGGTGTTTAGCAATATCTGGTTTCCTCCAGCATAGTGGACTACTGACTATGGCAAAAGCACTTCTGGGAAGATACCTGAGGGGAGGGGTAATTGTACCATGATCATGTTTGCATTCAAAACCTAGCTTGTTTTTCAGATTCCCTGAACCAACATCAGATGTGGTGCGAACAGATCTTGATGCAGGTGGTTTCTTTTTTTTCTGGATGCCATATGTGAAATTGTCATGAAGTCGAAGAAATTACATGAGCCGGACAGGAAGTGAATTTTGTGGCACTGAGGCAACTTTCTAAATAATGTCTGTGTTCAATCATTCTTTGAAGTCTCTCTTGTTGTTATTAATGTCAGTTCATCATAGTTCGAGAAGACAACCCGCACTTGTAAAGCGCCTTTAAGAGTCAGAGGACTCCAAAGTGCTTTACACTACAGTGTATCATTTACTCATTCACACACAGTGATTGTGATGAGCTACAATGTTGCCACAGACAGAGGTGAGTCTGCCGAGCACACGCACCACCGCCAGCAGGCAATGTGGGTCAAGTGTCTTGCTCAAGGACAAAACAGCAGAATTCTCCGGGATCTAACCTGCAGGCTTGCGATTACTGGACAACCCGCTCAACCTCCTGAGCTACTGCTGCCCCTAGTATGTGTTACTATGAGTTAACGTCATTATGGAGTTTAATAAGGTTAAAATTCATAATGAAGATTTCCATGTCATAGAATCCAATATGTGATTCATTGGTCATTAATCGGGTTAGAGGTAGCTCTTGGAAGCACAACCATGTAAAATAATTGGAAGGGGTTTAAACTGAGAGCAGAGATCAAGATGAAATAATGTAGAGCCATCAGGCACCAAGGACATCCTGCTGTAGCAATTCCGGAGATAGATTTAGAATGGATATGTAAACATTAAATTCCCACATGAAGAGCTATACTTTCTGTCCCCAGAGAAAATTATGCATCAGTTTTGTCACAGTTGCTCATTATATGCTGATGCACTTGTTCAATTTGTATGCATGTAGGCATAAAACAGGCATTGATATCTACAATTTTGTGTCTCCGGGGCACTTGCATTTTTGTCATTAGCAAGATAAATTGTTAACATATGAGAGAGCATGACACAGATGCAACACACCGCAGGGATAATTCATTATTTTAATTGGAAACAAATGACTGTTTCATTATAAACATTTTATGTTAAAGACCAAGTGGTCTCTAATATAAATGAATGTCTTATGAGCCAATTTCTGTGGCGAGATAAGTTCTGGTGTTCCTGTTTCAGGAATCAGAAGTGAGCCAGAAAAAAAGGTTAGCATGAGACCGCAGAGTCTAATTTCCTGATATTCAGACATCTGGCTTCTGATTGGCTAACAGAAATATGACTCTATCATTGACTCCATTTGCCGTGCATTGTTGATTTTATCTCCATGCATAACAAAAGCCTGAAGGAGTTCTGCAATGTTGTGGAGTTGCTAATGCTAATGGTTAGCTTCTACTAGAGAGGAAGTTCTCTGCTCTCTCCTGCACTCCAAAACAATACCAGGCTTACCCGTCACGAGCCAAGATGGGTGAGTCCTTGAATACGTCTCTGACTTTGTGACATGCTATGGTCAGGCTTTTCTACTCCGAGCATTTACCCAAATATTTTCTATCTGTGGCTAATGCAGGAAATAGAGAAGACTTTTCACGTTCAGCTTGAATGTGAAACTCAGAGTGACGATCACACTTAAAAAAGAAGTGAAACACGGATTTTCAGTTAACTTGGAATTCAAAAGGTTATAAAAAAACAAATCAAAAGCATTACAATCAGCATTTTTGCAGCTGTTCAATTGGATCAGAGGTGTCAAAATCCTGGTCCTCGAGCACCATTGTCGTGCATATCTCTGCTCAAACACGCCAGATTTGAACCAACTTGTGTTAAATAACAATTTTCTATAGAACCTAAATAACTAAACAAAAATTATTTAAAACAACCAAAAACATGCAGGATGGCTATCGAGACCACGAGTCACTGCTCTAAAGGTTCGGAAACGGTGTTGGGAGCAAAGGAGTTTAAGCGTAACGGCATCACTAATGGTGTTATTTTTTAGGTAACGGAGTATCCTAATTAATTACTTTTCCCATCGTTACAACGCCGTTACCATTACTGGGCATGTAAAGTGGCACGCTACTCCAAGCACAGCACTGTTAAGCTTTCTGTCAGCCACACCAGTGATGTGTCGGTCCCTCACAAAATGGCCCTCGAGCCGACACAGCGCCGAACACATCAGAGTGTTTGGTTACAGATTGGACATGAGTGCGTGCAGCACTGTGCACATAAAAGCAGGGAGGGGGTGTCATGAACCTGCCATGCCTTGACCTCCATGTACCATCATTCACCAAATCAGCCTTCATGCTTCACACCTGGTCCCCTCATCTAGCCCCAGCCAAACCCTGGGTGTTTCTCAATGTCAAGGCGCCTGGCCTTGTGAGGTGATGTCTTGCGAGGCCAGGCACCTTGCTTACAAGGACACTGTCCTTCCTTGGTCAAAGAAAACGGTTAAATGGAACAGACTTGCATCACGTGACCGCGGCTTCTACGGCGGTCACGTAACGTCACGTGACAAGGGAAATAACGTTATATTTTGTATGTATTAGTTTCAATATAACTATATAATGAGCCTTTTACTTTTCAAATTGTGTATGTTTATTAAATAAAAAATATAAGCGAGTTACTACCTGCTAGACACTGAAGCTGCAACTACTAAGCAACTAACCAACAATAGATAACTTCTTTGGATCTAAAAAACATTTTTAATTAGTTGACTTACTTTTAAACTTGAAAATTGTCCCGAAGTATCTGCCGGCTTCTGATCCGCTGTCCTTTTGAAAGTACCGCGGTTTATTGTGGGTAATTTTTGGCTAAGGCAAGGCTACAAGACACCTCCCGTGCATCCTTGCACAACTAGCTAAACAGCTAACAAACAGAGAACACATGCCTCCGTAGAACATGAACAATGGAACCGATTGGAACACGTCTTGGCGGCTCCTGATGACGTATCTCCTAGGCAACCGGGGCATGGCCAAGACATCAAGACAAGGTTCCTTGACATTGAGAAACATCCCCTGTTTCCACAGCAATCCCAGCCTGCATCTCATCAGCTTCATCCACTTCACCTGCTCCTGACTGCTCAGCTCAGCTCATCACACACACACACCTGCTTCCCCTGCTACTTAAGAACCAGCCATCAAACAATTCAGGGCCAGATTATTGAACACTTTCGCCAGTAAATCTTCCAGCCTTCCTTCCTGCCTGATCACATTCCCTTGACCTTGTTTCCACACCTGACCATCACCAAGAACTCTGCCTGCCACCACGACTCTAGCCTGTCTACGACCACATCTCCAGTCTGCTCCCTATACCTGCTTAGTTCTGATTTGGCTTCGACCCATGCCTGCCTTCGACTCTGCCCTTACCTGAGTATTCCTCAGGTAAACACCTCCTCATAGCTCTGGCTAATAAAGACTGTTTAAAACGTCTTACTGTGTTTGGCGTCATCACAGGTCCTCTAGTTCAGTTCATGACAGGGGGTGGCAGGTGCAAAATGCCTGGGACAATTATTACATTAACATGATGGGACCTGTACATATTGGTGGAGACAATTTTGTAAACGATGAGGAAAGAAAAATAAATATCACTTCAGAAAAGTAAGGAGATGAGTGGAAGCAGAACAGGCAAGAGGATACCAATATTTTAGCAGTCTGTTTTAACATTTAATCAACAATCAGACCTCTTTGTATCTTCCTATTTTATATAACAATAACTTAATTTATTCTAGTACTAATTGTAATTTTATTAGTCAAAACTGCAAACAGCTATGCTACTATATAAATTATAATTATGGATATCTATAGTAACAACTGCACTAGGAATTAGGTTTGAGATATCTCAGAATCCCTAAAAACCTAACATTGCCTTTTTAACATTTATTAGGCAGAATGGATATGTATTCCAGATAATTTTATTATTTCATGTAGAAATTATCATTCCATATATCTATAAGAAAATTCTTACTGAATGAACATCTCAGATATCTGAAAAAGACCCTTAAAGACAAGGCAGTCTGCCATACGTGCTGCCACTTAACGTCCAGGTAATGTTACTTATACAATGTGATAACTGAGTTACTAACTCAATTACTTTTTGTAAAAAAGTCATTTGGAACTACAACAAATTACTTTAACGTGAGATGCGCAACACTGGTTGGAAATGAGATCTGTAATAAAAAGCACACATTCTGTTCATAAAAAGATGTAGATGGACAAATAATGAGGTGTTTTACTGTCTGACTTTTCAGGTCGGGCCAATCACTGGTCAGCTCTCATTGGAGCCTCCCATTCAAAAAATTACGTGCTATGGGAATACGGTGGCACTGCCAGTGAAGGAGTTAAACAGGTAGCTGAGCTGGGCTCCCCGGTCAAAATGGAGGAGGAGATCAGGCAGAAGGTAAGATGTTCCAGTGCAAGAAATAGGAGATGGATGGCATATTTATGTGGTTAACCATAGAATTATTAACAAACCAAAAAATTAAAGAATCTTTCAAAGGTGTGGCGGAGGACATTTCTGAATTTCAGAAAATAACCGCCCACTCCACGTTTTGAAAAGATGCGCATGAGAGAGAACGCCAAGTTATCCTCTCGCACACTTTATTTACAAGTAGCTGCCGGTTGTGCAGCACTTCTAACAGAAATCTGAAATGAATTAGTCCAAATAGCATGCCAAACTTTAGCTGACCTGTCGAGCAGAAAACCGGAAGTCACCAGAATGATTGACAGTTATGCAGACCAATGGTTCACAAGATCCTCCGCTATACCTTTAAGCACCAAGAAATAAGGATTTTTCTGTTCATAGTTTTTTTTCCCCAATTGTGGCATTTGGTGGCAACCTTTCAGAGATTAGTCAGTCTGGATGAGAATGTAAAATTACAAGGACTGCAGAGGACATCCCTGTATCCAGTTGACATGTTGGAACGCATTTTCATTTTAGAATTTAAATATCCGTATTTAATTGGTTTAGACTGTTTACGAAAGGTTCAAATGTTATTTCAATTTGAATCTAAACATTGAGATACATCTTTAAATTAGGGTTGATTAACTTATGAAGACCAAATTTGCTTCTTCTAGTTGGACTAAAGTCGTTAAGGGCTTTGGATACAGAAACGTAGTCATCAGCTTTCGTTTTAAGCTGTCTTGTATCGCTTTCTCCTACGTTTACATTTTGTATATTACATTTCTTATTCAGCTCTAGTGCTCCAACTATCTTATTATTCCTTCTTGGCCTCTGGTTTCTTTTTAAATGTAGCTTGGCACATCTTCTCTTCCTTCCTTCTTGTTTTTGGTTTTCTCACTCAGTCATAAAATAACTCAGGCTGGCAGAGCAGATGGTCCTGTGGAGTTCTTATTGTTTGCTAATATCGAGGACCTGGAGTCACAGCAGATAATAAGGGCATGGTGTGAGCAATGGGTTCTTTGGTTTATTCCTATGCTCTCGCTGCCTTAACATCACACTTCTTGGGGCTTAATTTCTCCATGGATTGATAAATAAAGAGGCTATGTCTAAGATAAGAGATGAGAGTAAAGTTCTAGATTTAATCAAGAATTTTTTTCAAAAACAAAAAAATAGGAGTAAATTACTTTGTGTTTGCTGATTAGTTTCAAATTTCCAGTTTCTTCTGAAGTAGTTTCAGAGGTGTGAATATGAAACAAAGCTATCTACATTTTAATGGCAGCAGAAATTAATAGACAGGAAAAAAACAAGATAATTTCCCATCTGACTGCAATCACACTGTCGTGTGTGTGTGTGTGTGTGTGTGTGTGTGTGTGTGCGTGCGTGCGTGCGTGCGTGCATGCGTGTGTGTGTGTGTGTGTGTGTGTGTAAACTCAAGCTGTGATTGTCAACAGTAATTGCTCAGTAGTGAAATGGAAATGGCTGACATGCGAATACTAAGGTGTCTGTTTGGCTAGATGGCTGTGAGGGCTGCACAGTGATGAAGTGGTTAATACTGTTACTTTACAGGCTAAAGAGTTTGTCTTTTCTCCTTATGCGTGTGTGGGTTTTCTCTGGAATTTCCTAGAGCACTCTGTCCGAAGGCATGCATGTTAATGTGTGATTCTAAATTGACTGTGGAAGTGTGTTAGTGTGCGTGGTTGTGTGTCTTAGTGTTGTCTCTGCATTTGACCCGTTTACAGCTGTGATCCTCTGTAATCCCAAAAAGACAAGGAAATACTATTTGAAGTAATGACACTTTTATCATTGACTAAAGAAAAAAATAGAATATTGAATACTCCAAATTTTTCAAAAACTCCATACTTAGTTTTCACACTTTTTCTGGTTTTCAACCCGGTTACAACCGCGGGCAAATGTTCATTTAAAGGTACTTTGAATAGGAATCTAACAGTCAAATAATCACAAAACAGTCTAATAACTAATGTCTCAACCCAGCTCCATCATCAGCAGGGAAGTTCAGAAACAAGCCTCTGCACCTTCCTGAAAGACGCTAATGAGATGATTTAGGGATGTGCCTCTTGTTTGGCTTCACTTAGACGTTTTCTGAGAGCAGAACCATTGCTTATTGGAAAGTTTTTTATATATTTTTTGGGCTTGGGAAAATGTTGGGATCCATCTGTAGGTGCTGTATATATTGATGAGAGAGATGTCTAGGCTTCCCTCATTGACCTGTTGTCTCCATTACCCAGACTTGGATAAGTGGTGGAAAAGATATTAATTGGTTTCCATTCCAAAAAAATACAGTGATACCATTTCTCATGTCATTGCTCAAAGAAAAGCCGATATTTCCCACCATAACATAGTCATTTTTGATAATTTCTCCTCTTCAAAGTTGTTTTAGGTGCTTATTGGACTGGGCAGTTCCAAAATGTTAGCATTCTTGATGTATAGATCAGTTTTTTTGTTCCTACTTTGCGTAAGAACCATGTCTAACACTGGTATACTAGCTTCTCTTAACACACAAAAACCTAGTTTTGATTAATTATGTTGTCATAAGAGACAATGTTGCTTTAACAAAGCTGTCGCAGTATATCAAAGAGCAAATAGCAGGTTAATTGTTTTTTCTAATTCATATAAAATGCTGTCCAAAAAATGCTATTTGAAATGCTTATACAATGCTTAAACAGTGAAATTAGAAAAGCCCAGAGCAGGTAACATACTCTGTTCCCTGTTCTCTGTTCTGGCCTGTTCCTAGCCTCCGCTAGAAAGGAAACAGATTGTGCTTCTTAAAGGCATATTGACAATACAAAATGTAAAAAAGATCACTACTGGTTTAATGTAAATGGAGTACTGACAGCAAAATCCGATGGATTCCTCTTCCGGCACTTGGAGAGTACAGACACTTTTTTCCTCCTCTCCTCCCTATCTTTCCCAAGGCTCTTTGTCTGTCTTTGGGTGTACGGAGCTTCTACATTTTTTTCTGGAAACTGGAAATTATTAAAAATGGACTTGGTCAGCTGCTCACTCAACGCGATTGACAAAATTTTCTCAACGATGAGAACAGGAGAAGGGGCTCCCGGGTGCCCTTCTGGGACAGATCCAGTTGGGCACATTATGGACTCCTGGAAACAGTGGAACCTGATTTGCCTATCTCAGCTGTCTGTAGAGGATTCTGAAGACGTCTGGATATTCGTGGTGCTGGTGTCAGGTTTCCTGCTCTTTGGCCTTGGAGGTTACCTGACTTACTGGAAAATTAATGAGCTGTCGAGGAATATTGGCTCACTCCCAGAGCTCAGAGATGGATTGCACCGTGCTGTGAATTCACAGACTCATATTATTGTCGAGATGAGTCATAAGCTTGGAACTTTGGCTGGGATTCATGCGTTGGCACAAAAGATGGATGCGATCAAGGAGCGAGTGGACGAATCAGCAAGGATTGGGATAGATTAATCAATGCCATTACTGGATTTTGAGAGGTTGAGGATGAACTTTAAGACAGAGAAGAAATTATCTCTGTCTGGCCCCAAAACAATTTTCTATCTGAATCTGGTGCCCTTGAGCCTGTGAGGCTGAAATGGATACCCACCCTCAGAAGAAATGTGGAATGCTGCCGTCGCCATGGCAACTCTGTTTCCCTATCCCGGCCTGGGCGGGACTGCGAGCTGTGAAGGTCGCTGAATCGTTCCAGGAGTCACTGTGCTCTGTAAACCCAACGACCTCCCACCCCTTTCCAAACTGAGGTGAAGAGCGCTGCTTATTGCGGCTGCTGCTGCTGACGTGTGGAGAGTCCCAAACCCTACCACCCCACCTAGTGGACACTTATGCTGTGTAATGTCTGAAGTCTGTTGCATTTCTGTCTGAGGTGTTTTTTTTTTGCATAGCAAAGCTGCCCTCCATGTGGAGGGTAACTCTGAAGTGCATTTTTTTCCTCCACCTGGTCCAATCCTCATGCAACGCCTCTGATCTCTATTAAGGTAACGCTACTCGGGTTGCGAGTGACCTCAGTCACCAATTCTTGTCATGTGTCTTTGCCTATGTATGTCTGATCTTAGAATTGTGTGTACTGAAACTCAAATTTCCCTCTGGGATTAATAAAGTATCTTTGAATTGAATTGAATTTGAGTCCCATCCCATTTCTACAACCTTGGGGGTTGTGTGTAATAATACTGGTTTGAACAATACCTGATGCTTCACAGTAGAGCCCTGCACTGAAGCCCTAGACCCTCGGGCTTCAGGCCAACGACTGTGTAATTACCTCGGACACGGGCCGGGCGCCTTTATTTTTAATTGAATTCATAAAAAAATTTGAAACACTTAAACGCAGCAGTAGAGCCCTGCGTGGGACTGTTTTCTTCATCCCGCTCCTGCCCGCTCCCGCTGAATTTCTGACCTTTACCGCCCGCAACCGCAACGTGTGTGTTACACTCCCGCCCGCAACCACAAAACTCGGAGAAATTATTACCTCACAATAAAACAGATGTATTGAGTTTGCGTCCTCAACATGTCATTTTTTAGGCTATACCAGGGGTCGGCAACCCGCGGCTCTTCCATCCATCTGATGCGGCTCTCTGTGCTTGTAAAATAATGAATGGATATTTAAATAAAATGCTTAATATTTTACTGAATTAATTTTATTTCTGTAAGTCAATTCTATGTAAAGATTGTCTACGTAAACCTGAACAGGCCCAACCCAGTCTTACTGTGAGACTGGGCTGACGGGTCACGCTTGTGCGTAATCATGTGCGCTTTCTGAGCTGAAGAGGATGTGAGATTCTGGGCTTCTCCTCAGATGGCTCCTGGATGTGTCGCCATATTGGAGACAGGAACAAGTGCTATTCAGCCAAAGTTTCATAATCAGGGAACATTTCTAAGTGACAAGTCTCTCTGAGAGACATTGTTTGGATAACACTCGCTTCAGTAGGAGGAACCTTCCCGCATGCGCTCTGGTTCTGAGACGCGCTCCAAGCCAATCTCCACAACTTCAGCTCGCTGTGCACATA